GGGCCCCCCCGCACCGGCCCCCCGTCTCCCCCCCCGCGCCGGCCGGCGGTGGAGCGCCTCTCGGGAGCCCGCGGCCACCGCCTTGCACCACTGGCGCTGCCGCTCCCGCTCCTCCTGGCTGCCGCGCCCCAGCGCGCCCACTGCGCTCCTCTTCCCACACCCCCATGGGGCTTCAGCACAGACAGGACAATATGCCACCACAGCCCTCCTCGGGGTGCTGTCCTCTCCTCGCTAGGAAATCAGTCCCTGAGTAGTTCCAGATCTGGCTGCTACAACTACGAGGTTTGCTCTAGTGCCCTGCGAGAGTTGCTGACAGCCCTCAGGTGGGGGCCGGGGGAGATGGGCTACAAATGGCATTAACACAGTAAGACTTCAAACTAAGTCTCTACAAACATGGACTTACAGTAACTGAAATATGGGTTTATCTATCTGTGCAACTAGATAGATACAAATCTACCCACACACAAACATACAATAAACTATATATACATATATGCACACACACGTACACGCACGCACACACATAGGCACACATATATGTACATATAGGTACTCTGTACATCAGCAGGCAAAACTAGTGAAACACCTTAACGATCTGAAACTACTTAAGAGCAGATCTGGCACCACATGCTGAGAAAGCTCATTGCACTGTGTAGTGACTGGGATCCCCGAGCACACGCACCCCCCTCCAGCAACAACAGCTAACACATCCATCATTTTCTCTTGTCAACATACGTCTATTCCAGAGGTGTTTTCCAAACTCACCATGGCAGCTGCAGTCGCTGCTGCCTGGGCAGCTGCAGCTTGGTTAACCTGGTACTGGGCAGCCTTGATCTTGGCTTGCAGATGTGCAGGAGGGTGAAAATATTTGCACTTTTCCCGCGAGCATCTCCCTTTGATGTAATCCATGCAGACAGTGACCGTGTTGTCGTTGGTGTCGATCATCGCGCTGTCGGCAGGGTGGGCAAACCGGCAGTCGTTCTCTCCCCTGTTGCAGTTGCCACGCTGGTACTCTCGACATACCTGTGACACCGGGAAAAGAAAATCGCTTAATTTGGGTGATGGGTGTCGTGGGCATGGCTCAGAGCGGAGTCCGGATTTCTGAACGTCTGCGAGAGTGCCACGAGGACAGGTGCCCGGCCCCAGGAGGAGCAGAGCGGTGCTGGGACAGTGGGCTTGGCTCCCTGGTAGCAGGGACCTGGCTTCTCTAAAGCCACTTCTGATGTCAAAGAGCATCAAAACCCACCAGGATCAAGAGCCAAGCACACAGCAGGTCAGAGATCACCCCAAGCACCACGGTGCTTGGACACAGTTGCACTCCACTGCGATCTCGCCGTGCCCAAGTTAGCAACGCTTGATGCATTAATTAAGGTGACCAGCCGCAGGTGCTGGGAGGATGAGTGCATGGCCTCTCCTGAGCAGCCCCACCGGACGGGCGCTTGGTGCCCACGCCAGGGAGTGAGCTGCACCCGTCGGGGCATGCGGTGCCGCACTGCCCTCCACGATCCAGGCGTCTGCCACGAGAGGGCAATCCAAAACCCTCAGTGGCAGTGGCTGCCTCTCCCG